ATTTTCACCACAGATCAAGTTCAGAAATACCATTAAAATTAAAAAATGTTCAATACCTTATCTCTGGGAGGAAACAGTATCCTGTGATACAAGAGATTATGTTTATGATTTTTTTTTTACCAGTTTAATCTTTATGGATGGATGCAAACCCACCTGAATGGAAGCCAGTTCCGTAAAAACAAGAGTGGTGGATGTTATAATAAACGCCCTTAAAGTATCCCTGCTCATTATAGCCCATGTTTTCTGATGTCTCACTTCGCCTTTCCTAACATGGAGCAGGGGGCTTGAAGTCAGGCTGCAGCTCCCAACTGCTGTGCTTAAATTGCTTCTGGAAGCACGGAGCCCTCTGAGCCCTCCTCTGCTGCTGCAGATTTAGCTCTGGGCTGGGGAGATTGTGGGGAGAAGTCATTTGCATCAAAAAACACTAGCTGTCTATTCCCATTAGAAAAAACACTTGGTGTTTCAGTGCAAATTATTTTAAAAGGGCAGATAACTTATGGATGCAGGAAGGGTAATCCACAAAGATGTATGCGATTTTGTTCAGTTGGATGTCCTCAGGGCGAAAACATCAAGGATAACAAGTGTTCTAAATACAAACAGACACAATCATAAAATATGACACCCATGATTAAAATACCCCTTTCCAGGGTCCTTCGCTCTTAGGAGGGAAGCTGTCTTGTTAATATCGAGGGCCTCATTTCCGGGGATTCTGGTTAAAACAACTATCCCTGCTTTCTTGACCATATTCTTAGAGGGTTGTGAAATTCTGAGGCTTTCAGCAGACTAGTGGGGATCCCAGCATCGAGTTGGGGGGGATTAGCTTTGGGGGTTAGGATCTCGGGGTCTGGAGCTGGTGGAGTTGGTTTTGAATCCCAGCCCTGACATTTAGGCACTAGCTTCTCTGAGGTCTAGAGGTCCTCATCTGAAAACAGGAAATTAAGGTTACGGAGAGGATTAAAACCAAGGAAACCAAACAAAAAAGCCAGATGTAAAGTGCTTAGTGTAGTGTGTGGCACAGAAAAAAAAAAGAAAGAAAGGAAGAAAAAGGGTCTGTGTTTCTCTCCTTAGTCCCTGATCCCAGAAGAGATCGGGGAATGGAAATTATTCACCAGGATATGAAAGAAAGAAATTTTTCTGACTTAAGAAAAATTGCACCAAGATTTTTGGCAATTTGAAGCCATGAGAGGAAAATGGATTCTCATAACTTTGTAAGTTCACATGCTGATGCTGATAAATAGTTCACAGCCAAGGCATGGGCATCATTTATCTGAGAATAACAGTTAATGGCCATTGGCACTCACGTGGTGCCAAGTGCCCTTTTATGAGCGCTCTATGTGTCGCTTCACTTAATGCTCCCAATATCTTCATGAGTTGGTACTAATATCCTCCAGTTCCACAGGTCAGGAAACAGCGAAACAGAGAAGTTATGTAAATGGTCCAGCATCACAGAGCTAGTAAGTAGTGGAATCAGAACTTAAATTCAGACACTTATTCCGGTGTCCACCCTCTTAGTCACGGTACTGGGCTTTACTTCTTCAGTTTTAAATCCCTCACAGCCTCATGACCGGTGCTTTGCACATCGTGGACATTCAATATTTTTTCAATGCTTGTGTAAAGGGTGGCAGCATTTGCTTTCAGAGTGCAGTAAATGGAAAGGGTTAAATTGTTCCTCTTGGATTTTAGAAAAATAAAGTACAGTAGATAGATGGGATCTAAGAATCTAAGAACAATGACACATGTAATATCATTTACGGAGCCCTGTGGGCGGTGGGAACATTAGTGCTGAATGCATGCCGGGAAGGAGTCTCCTTCTGCACAGAACCTGCAGAATGACCTTGAAGGTGAATGCAGGTCGGTGTAATTGCGAAGCTGTTATGAGATTATCATGGTTTCATGGAAAGATCACAGGGTTTCGGGCTGACTGCATCTTCACCAGAGAGCTAATTCCACCTCTCACCAGCTCTGTGACCGTGGGTACTGTTACTTGGCCTCTCTGAACCTCAGTTTGCCCAGCTGCAAAGAGGGAGGGGCGTAACAAAAATAATACTGGCTTCCACTTTCTCACATGAGATAAAGTCTATGAATCTGTCACACTGGTAATAAAGCAGAGGAGACTTAAGCTTGGCGAAGGTAATACTAGGTACTACAACAGAACACCCACCTCTCTGTAGAATAATGCAATAGACGTCCCCCCCCCCCCAGCCATTCCACCCACCCAAAATGAGACTTCCTAATTGGCAGGTGGCTGTGCTCTGAGCTCCATCCATCAGAGGTCTGCCATGCCCACAGGTTTGCTGTGGAAGAGGAAAGAGAGTGGGGGGACTCCTGTGGGGCTGCCACGCCAGGAAGTGGCTCAGTCCCCCAGCACAGTAAGAGCAAAGGATGCTGGGAAATCTGGATGCATACATCCAGGGAGGAAAGGAAGTGCTTTGGGCCACCAGCTAGCAATTCCAACTTCTGTCTTTTCTCGGGGCTGTTATGAGATTAAATGAATTAAGCAGGAGAGGACTCTGTTGTCCTAAAACAAGACAGAAATGCTACCGTGGCTGATGGCTTACCTAGACACGCAAATCCAGGAAGGTTCCAAACAATGGACATTCAAAGCCACCCCCTGCCCCTTATCAACACCAATATCAAGAACAGTCTCTAAGGCACAGGGGCTGGGTGACAGGGGCCTGAGGGCCCCAGGATGGGCAGGGAGGGAAGATAAGAAAAGACACCTCAGAGGATGTTTAATCCTGCCAGCACTCAGGGTACAGATGACGATTGCTGATGGCTGACCGCTGTGCGACAGAGTCACAGATAAAGAAGTTGAGTAAGAGATTTGGAAAGGAAAACAAAACCCAAGAAGGGGCTTGCAAAAGAGCCATCGCCCCCTCCTGGCCTTCACCTCTGGAGCTGTAACTACAACTTCTGGGGACAGGGCGGTTTCCACGCCTCCCAGAAACCAAGGAGGTTTCTCAGGGAGTAAAAATCTCATATATTTTTCATTATAGCATGAGTCTGTTTTGTTTGTTTGAATCATTTTTAAGTTTGTGGATGTGCCTTGAATATTCCAATTTCCAGGAGTGGACGGATCAGTGACAATATATTCGTTTTGTTTCCACCACTAAATATTTTGAGTTTCACTTCTAAAATGCTGTTTTTGTTTTAAGGTAAACCCAGATTTTTCAGTAGATACAGAATGACGACTGATTTTTAATACATTTTTTGCTGAATTCAAATGATATGTGTATGCTACATAACGAGTTTTCTAAGACATGAACTCTTATTTCTTACCTCTCTTGATGTCCATTTCATGTGCCATTCTTGGCCTGAGAATATGTATTTTTTTTTTCAGTTACTAAACTTTTTGGAGTCAATAGGTCTAGGATCTAGAAATAAAGTTAACTAGGGGTGGGTTATTGCAAAGATATTATTTATCTTCTCAGTCTCATGTATATTTATGTGTTTATTGTTAGTCTTTCCCTACTAGAATATAAGCTGCAAAAGGCGGGTCCTCTGGGTGTCTTTGCTCTACACTGGGTGCTTGCTTCCTAGAACAGTGCTCGATAAGGTCAACTCAGGACAGACAGACATGATCACCAGGTCCTGGGCATTCTGCATCAGTGGGCTTCTATGCCACTTCCCCTCGTAATTCAGGTCTTCCTTCCTCCTATATCAATGACCGGGAAAACAACTTGTCCCCGCCCGGTCACCTCCATTTATGTCCGTCTGAATGAGGCTCGAGAAGTCTCCACCACCTGCCATAGGAGGGGAGCTGCTGTCTGGTCTCCCTCCCGCGGACCCCGCTGAGCTGACCTAAGAGCAATGTTGTTTTTCCACATGGATGAAATGGAGATTGGGAAACATGGGGGCAGGGGAGAGGACACAGTGACAAGGACAGTCACCAGCTTCCAAGGAGTACATAATTCTCACAGGAAAAGGGCACTGTGGTCTCGGGTGGAGAGTGGGGAAAATTGAGAGAAGAATCCAAGGAATGTTCAGTGCTTTGTGGCTATTTAAAGTTGTCCCTTTTATTATCAAGGGAAGATAAATAAATAGATATATAAATACATTTATAGAGTGTAGAGCAGGATAAAAAACTTCCCATTTCTTAAAAGACTCACTAACAATTCCTCCTGGAGTGGGAACTGGCTTTGAGGATGCCCACATGGGGCAGGTGAGACCTGTCGAAGAGGCAGGAGACAAGGATACAGAGGCGAGTGGCTGTGTTGAGGGGGAGAGGTGAGTGAGAGGAGAAGGGAAATCCAGGAAGACGACTGGGCCTGGGAGAGTGAGGGCCAAGAGGACCCGTGCTCGCTGTGGTGGCTGGTCTTCAGGGGGGCCCCGACAGGGCCTGGGCCCTGGTATTCACCCCCAGTAGTCCCACAGTGCTGCCCTCCTCCACACTGTACCAGGGTTGGTCTGTGTGACCAAATAGAATATGGCAGAAGTGATGGCATGTCACCCCCAAGATCAGGTCATAAAAGGGCATGGCCTCTACCTTGCTTTCTTTTTTCTTTTCTCTGCACCCTCCCCGCGACTCCCTTTCTCCTGTCTTTCTCTCCGTGAGCAGCTGTGGAGAAACCCAAGCGCCCAGCAACGGAAAAGTCAGGCCATAGCCAATAAGGAACTGAGTCCTGCCTAGAACTACCTGGGTGAACTTGAAAGCACATCTCAGTCCCAGGTAAGTCTTCGATGACTACAGCCTTGGCTGACATTTTATCACCAACCTCATGGGAGGCCCTGAGCCAGAACTATCCAGCCAAACCGCACCTGGATATCTCAGGCAGTAAATATTTGCTCTTTTAAGTTGCTGTGTTCTGGGAATAATGTGTTATGCAGTCGTCGCAAAACCAATACAATACAGTGATGCCCACTGTTTATGTATGGTTTGAGTGGGAAATGGATTCTGATCCCATCAGGGCACTATAACAAAATACCGCAGGGTAGATTATAAGCAACAGAAATTTATTTCTTACAATTCTGGAGGACGGGGAGCCCAAGATCAAGGCACTAGCAGATTTGGTGTCTGGAGAGGGCCTGGTTTATGGTTCAAAGATGATACTTTCTAGGCATGTCCTTGAGGTGGAAGGGCTGAGGGATCTCTCAGGTCTATTTTATAAAGATGCCAATTCCATTTATGGGGACGCTGGTCTCATGATCTAATCATCCCGAAGTCCTCGCTCCTTAATATCAGGTGAGATTGTTCACACAAGTATTTGGAAGAACACAAACATTCACACCATAGCAAATCCAAACCTTTCAAGACCCTGGGACACATTTTATGCACGTTGGCTGCAAAAGAGCCAGGAGAGCGAGGCTTGAGCACTTTGAAGGACTTGGGACTCTGCTTCTGGATTACTCAGATGGGCCTGAGTAATCTGAGGATGGTCTGCTATAACCAATAAAATCATAAAAAAATGTCTGGCTCAAACTGGCGACGTATCACAGCCTACGGGGGTGCTGCAGTTAGGGGTATCTTTGTTGCACCCAACAGAAAATCTGCTCAAATTGGCTCAAGCACCACAGGGACTTAATTGGCTGCAGTAGCTGAACAGTGGAGAAAAGTCTGCCTCGTGCCCACGAGGTCCCTGGTTTATTTAGCTCCCTCCTGCCTCTCCATCCTCCTCAAAGTCAACATCACCCAAGCCTGGCTTCTGGCATGCCAAGATGGCCACCAGAGTATGAGGAGGCTGTGAGCTTCCTCTTCACGTCCAGCTGGTGAGCTTTTCTCTCTACCTGGTGGTAGAGAAGTTATACACACGTCGACTGGAAGAACTGAGGTCATTGGTCCAATTCGGAGCCTGCGTTCTTTGGTCTGGCTGGTTGCTCTCTCTGTCCCACTGGGCAAAGGGCTGGGATCATGTGAGAAGACTCGTCTTGGGGCTGGAGGTGCGTTGACTACTACAGCAGCCTGGAACGGAGGCCTGAACCAGGGTCTACAGGTTAGGTGGCTTGCCCACGCCCAGCTCGGAGGGTCGGGAGGTCTTGACCTGGCTCTCGACCTCACACGTGACTGACACCCAATAAATGTTCAGAAACTAAAATGCATGGCTCCTCCCACGTGCCTGGCCCTGTGCTTTGGGCTAAGCCATTAGGTTCCCACATGGCTCCTCTGTGGTGATTCGATTTTCCTCTGCTGAGGGAACAGGGCTGCAGGAAGTGCAGTCATTTCGAGGGAAACTGGCAAAGGCTAGAGGTGCTAGTCCCCTAGGGAGGCCCTTCCCATAGGGAGAGCTGTGAGGTGGTAGGTGTGGAGGGAGGGGCAGGAACAGATTTAGGCTGGAATTTCCAAGCATTTTAGAAACATTTGAGAGCCAAACCCTCAGACCAGATCATTTCTTGGTCTTGATCATCTTCTTTGTAAGCCCTTACCACCATGGTTCCCCATGTCCCCAGTACCCCATACACAGACAGATACACATACCCACGCTCAGACTCGTTATGGACACACACACACACACACACACACACACACACACAGGCACATGCATGAGCTCACAAGAGTCTCTCCTGATCAAAGTATCCCCGACCAGATCAGAGGACAGGTCCACCCTAGAGCACACCCAGAGTCCCAACCTCCGAATCTTCAATGTGTGCTCCAGAATAAAACCAGGAGTGTCTCCCTCTGCCTGGAGCCTGCCAGGGGATTTCCTGAGGACAGGCAGCAGTCTTTGCCCCTCACTCTCGATCACGTGTTTGATTTCAAGGTACCTGTCCCAGTCTGCAGTCCTCAGACCCTTTTCCAAAGGTTCCTTCCAATGGATCCAGTGCTCTCACGGAGGCCCTGCTTTTGCTCATGAGATTTGCTCAAGAGAGATATTTTCTTAGAAAGTTATCACCCAGTTCTTTCCCTTTCTTTATATAGAACTGGAGAGGTGAAGCAGTTTGTCAGGAAGTTCTCGTGTGTGGTAGAGGCAGAGCTTGAATCAATTCTTGGTCTTCCAGCTCAAAGCCAGACCTCTTTCTGGTTGAATAGTTACTCAGTCCTCAAAGGGATTCCCCAGATAGTAATATCACCCTAGGGAGCTGAAAAAGGGGTTCACAGAATACACACACACACACACACGCACACACACACACACATATATATATATATTCGTATCTGTCTGTCTGTGTATGGGGTACTGGGGACATGGGGAACCATGGTGGTAAGGGCTTACAAAAGAGATGATCAAGACCAAGAAATGATGTGGCCTGAGGGTTTGGCTCTCAAATGTTTCTAAAATGCTTGGAAATTAATATATATATATATATATATATATATATATATATATATATAATTTTTTTCAGCAAAGTGTGATGTAGTTTTCAAGCAACTGAAATAGATTGGAAGAGAGATGGAGAAAGTATAATTTATATATACGATACAGATTCAAGATAATCTAATATAAACAAGTAACAGGGAATTAACTCTTCCACTGTTACTCTTGAGAATATGCATAAAACTCTTTCCTCTTTCTTGATAATGGACATGATCATTTTTATTGTTTCTGAAAGCTCAGGAAAAAATGTGAAACTTTTTAAAGTTGACATTCTTCAGCAGAGCTAATTATTTTCTATTTAACCTATTAAGTATATTTTAGTCTTTTTTTGCAGTTATACTTCTCTCTTATGTAGCATTTCTTCTGGCCTTGGGATAACTGAACTAACCTAGCAGTCATAAGGGGAAGCGATGACACTTCATATCCAAACCAAAACACCAAGACCAGGGCTGTATGCAATCCTGCTTTGGGTGTTTAGTGTCCTTCTCAAGATACACTGCTATTTTTTTCATTTCAGACACTGTGGAAACCAAAACATTCCCCACGGCCTCTGGAGGAAATGCCTTGGGATTCTACTTGCTTCAATGGGATCACTTCATTCCAGAGACTCTAGGTCTTTGGTCACTCGGCCTGTGCATCCTAAACAGTATGTCATGGATGGAGCCTGTAGATGCTTTGCAGGGGACCATGCAGGAGCAGTGATTCAGGGACGGGGAAACCAGAAGCCACATCAGACTGCCTATCCTGTGTTCTGGACATGCCCACTTCCTGAAAGGGGTTCAGCTGCTGTTTCTTGGCTACACTGAGCTATACACCTGGCGCTTTGCTGGTTGAAGAGCCATAGGAACCTTAAGAAGCCAGGCTTGGCTTCCGGGGTTGTGAGAGGAAGTGACAGGAAGGTCTCAGCCAGGTGTCACTGGACCCCCTTGTCTTTCCCGCCCATCTTTTCTGGGTGGCCAGGACCTTGTGGCTCCTGCTTGCTGGGGCACAGTGACTAACCACAAGTCTGGTCTGCCCCTCAGCCCTCCTAGCACACTGTCCCCTGATGCTCTTCTCCCCAGGTGGATGTCTCCGTCTCTGCTTTAGCAGCCATTTATGGGAGTGTCTGAAGGACTAGGAAGCAGTGGCCCATTTGGGGGGGGGGTTCCTTTCATAGCTCTGAGGAGTCCAGATGAAAACCTGATATGATTTGAGCATCCCTGATCTGAAAAGTCAAAATCCACAACTTTTGAGCACTGACATGAGACCATAAGTGGAAGATTCCACAGCGGACCTCATATGATGAGTTGGTAGACAAAACTCAGGGGCATTGAAAATACTGTGTAAAATTAGCTTCAGATCACATGTACAAGGTACACATGAAACATAAACGAATTTTGGTTTCAGGCTTAAATCCCAAGTGTTTTACACAGCTTTTGCATCTCTGTGACCAAAACACCCAACAGGAACTACTTGAAGGAGAAGACGTTTACTTGAGGCTCATGGTCTCAGAGGTCTCAGTTCATACATGGTCACCTCCACTGCTCGGGAGCCAAGGTGAGGTAGTAGAGCATGACAGAAGGGCCCAGTGGAAGAAAGCTGCCCAGCTCGTGGTGGGGCCAGAAAGCAGGGGAGAAGAGGGAAGGTGGGGAGGGACTGCAGGGAAGAGGAACTCTTCAGGGCGTCTCCCACTGACCCACCTCCTCCAGCCACACCCCACTGGCCTCCAGTTACCACCTGGTCAGTCCATTCAAATCAGATGGACTGATTAGGTTAGAGTGATCGCGATCCAGCCATTTTACCCCCCAGCACTCCTGTATTAATACAGGAGCTGTTGGGGGACACCTCATATCCAAACCGTAACACCCAGATATATACTATAGATCTACAAATATTCCAGAATAACAAAAAATCTGAAATCCAAAATACTTCTGGCCTCAAGCTTTGGAATAAGGTCTACTCAACCAGTGCAAGTGAAAAATCAGGTTGCTTTCCCTCCTGGGTTAGCTCTAAGGCAGTTCAGTATTGTGAAATGGCTGAGCACACATTGGAAGGTGGAGGAAGACGAGGTTCAATGTCAGCTATGCCACTTACGCCTTGCATGACCTTGACAAGTTTCAAAATCTCTTTAAACCCAGTTCCCGTATCTAAAAATGGGGATGATGATAATATATGCATCATAGGGTTGTTATGAGGAATGACTGATAAAGAATGCAAAGTGCTTATTTTAAAAATATCATCTATTATTATGGTTAATGTTTGTGAAAAGGAATAGGACCTAGTTCAACCTCCCTTGTTTTTCAGAGCCTCAGAGAAGTTATGCTCTATTGCCACACAGCTATAGATAATGATGGCTAAGATGTACTCTTGGCCTTCTGGAACTCTGTTCATCGGTTTTCTACACCATCCTTTGAATGAAATTTGCACTGCACTTTCTTGACCAACCTTGAAAAACACTAAGTGCAAAAAACGGTGTTTTTTTGAAGCATTTCTGGCAGAATCTTTTTATTTTATTTGTCTACAAATTTTAGATGCTATGTCTATAACACCAGATTATGTGAAGTATGTGCTTAATAAATAACTTTGGACTAACCAAAGCATGCTAAAATTAAAGACGATAATTGAATAGAAGTTAACATTGTGTCTAATGCATTGCTTTTCCAAAAATGGACATAGTTAAGGACACCAAGTCTCAGTAACAGCCATTTTAAATTTATTTTTACTTTAAATGCTTTGCTGTTCCAAGAATAAGGAGATTTAAAAAAAAATCCAGTTTGGTAAAAGTCAAACTGTACCCATTTTCTTGGATGTTAAAATTAACCTGAATGGGCCCAAAGAAAGTCCTTTGGGATTAGAGGTCACCAGGAATGGACCATCGTGTGCACTGGTTGGATTCCATATGTTTACTAGTTGGAATAAACTCCTCTCTGCTTCTGCTCTTAAACACAGCTTCGTACCAATTACTTAGGTCCAGAGTTTACTTCCGATTCCAGCCTTAACAGACAAGCCCCGAGCCTATCAAGTTTTATGGCGGTCAATACATCTCCCTTCCAGAAGCAACTGGTCACAGCCATTTCCAACACAAAGCTCTTTGGTGACCCTTTCTTCTTTTTATAGTCTGCTTCCAGACATTCAGTGACCCATAAAGTTAACTTATAACCAAGTCACAGCCATGACCAGGGCTGTTGTTCTCATGTCCACCCTGAGGTTCCCTTTTCCTTGGACAGACATGCTTGGAGGCCATGAATCACACTGCCTGTACCCTATGGGGGCCGCTCCTTTTGGGCCAACCCTAGGTCCTGGATCCTTAACCCAGGCTCTTTCCTTTAAACATTTCCCAAACACTAGAATTTTCTTACTTTGCCCTCAAATGTGCCCAGTGCCTTGAAGGTCCAGCAGGAATCTACTAATGCGACGTGGCCTCTGCTTGGTGAGTTGGGAGTCAAGGAGTGCCGTGGGCTCAAACCACCTGTGAAAACACAATAATGATGTCCTGGTGGTGTTATTTACAACCTAATTTGTCCTCCTGCCCTCCCCTTCTTTCTCTAAATAGGGTGCACGTACACCTATTAAAGGCGGGACGGTGGGGCCTATAGGCAAGGTGGAAGGAAAGCTGTTTAACTGGAGGAAGCTCATTAGGGCCTCGGCTGCAAGAACCAGGAACGGTGCCCATGCCTATGATTATTAAATTTACTCAGCCTCTTTATTTTCTAGATGTGGACAGGTCAGTAAGTTTCCTTAACTTGATCAAAGTTGTAGGGCTAGTTAAAGGCATCTGCAGTGAGGTGTTTTCCTTATTACACTGTACTATCTTCCATTGAAATCTAATTTTGTTCTCTGGCAGAGAGATTGGTTTTACAAAGAGGGAGGGAGTCATGAAATGTATTTTGGTTTTAGCAAAGCTGGTGACTATCTTCTGCAATCTATTAATAAACAAACAAAGACAATGGGTTCCATCTTAGAACATTCACTGTTAGGAAATTCTGGTTTAGAGGATTTCAGAAATGGAAGGTTCTTTAAGACAATCATCTTGCACTGTGAGTTTCATCTGTGTTTGGTGAAATCCAAGGTGCCTCACAGATACCGGAGAGCCTTTAAAAGAAAAGAAGCGAATGTACAGGGCTCAGGGCCTGCTCCTTCAGGGCCAGTAAAGCAAGTCTGTCTGTATCTGTTTTATATGTTGGGATTTTATGTTAGATTTTAATTTAAAAAGGGAATCCACTTCTAAAGAAAAAATTTCAGACTGTAAATCTAGTTCAAGTTCCTCAAGTTATAGACAAGAAAACTGAGACCCTGAATTTTGAACTGGGTGGAGTTGCCAAATAGGAGTCTTTATTCCATTCTAAGGATGAAGAAGCCAAGACTCAACTCTTAAAGATTTGTAGTTTTGTCAATGACACAGCCAGGGCTGGAACCAGGTATTCAGCCCATGACGCTGCCTCTCACACCATCTTATTTAGTAATATTAAACATGGGGCTGGTTGTATTGTTCCAAATTCCAGAATGTCCCAGGAAGAATGAAGGACCTAGAAGGAGGAGTCAGAGAGAGCAGATTGAGAACCACCACCAACCAGTGCAGGGAAAGTGACCTATTCTTGGACTATGGAAACAGGATCCATGCTCACTCCATGAGTCCACTTCATTCTCTGAATTCCTTAGCATAATGCTATATTCCCAGTAACTAAGCAGAGGCCTGGCACTTAGAGCTCAATATGTATCAGTTGATTAGACTAAAAGCACATCCTCATGCTATGGTTAAAATCCTGCCCTAGCTAGAAACTTGGGAGTGTGATACATTTAAAAATCAAATGCTTGCAAAAATATAACAATTAATCAACATACAGCAGGCCCATAAGTTCTGTTCTCTGAACCAATCAATGATGATTCCTTGATGTGGAGGAATCTTTGCTGGCAGGGTTCACCTAAAGGAAGAAAACATGACTCAGTGGACCACCTTATCAAGTAGCCCTAGCAGATCCCTTGGGGCCTGTTATTCAGGCTTGGTTCCCCGTTTCAGCTAGTAGTCAGGTCCCTGTTCCTAATGGGGAAATGCACATCCTGTAAATCATTCCCATAAGCCACTGGACAAATGTTCTCAGGGTACCTGAGCCTGAATGAGCTTAAACAGAAACAAAACTGGGATCAGAGAGGTCGTATTAGATCTTAGCTAAGGTAATTAGCATTTGTAGTACCTTATCAAAGGATACTGAATAATATCTTTCCCTAGGGAACTTTGAGAACAGGACAGTTAGATTTCTGCAAGTGGACATTGTCTTGTCTTTGTAACACCTTACAACTGTATCACAGCTTATAGCCTTTCAAGGTGCTCGGTGGTTGGGGAATTATTTAGATGCCCTTCTGAGGCCATCTGCTCCCTGGATTTGTTTCAGAGGAAGACCTGAGGTGAACTTGAGCAGGAAAAAGGGAGGGAGACAGAGACCCCATTAACAGGATGAAATGTGTGCCCAGACCAGGAAACCAGAAAAGAAAGAATCTGATGGAAACCATGCTTGCCTGTCGCCTCGATTTTGCTCAGTCCCTGCAACAGCCCTCTGACACCGTGTGTTGTGGTCTTCTCTGGGATCAGGGGTGGGCTGGTTTATGTCAACAGGGTGGGATGACCGTAAAAGTCCTTATTTGCACTTTTGGATGTGGCTTTTCCATTTAAAATAATTAAAACCAACTAAGCTGACTTTTCCCTTCTGACCCAGTTCCTGGCTTTCTTCTGCTTTGGCCTCTTCGGGCCAATCTGGGGATGCGGCGGAATGAAGGACGATGCCCGGTGGGACGAGGTGGTCAGGGCGGACCCCTGCCACTGAATGCTAGGAGCTTCTTCATTCTTTTGGTTTTAATCCCCTTGTGTGGGTCCAAGTGACAGTCCCAAGGCTCTGGCTAAGCAACAAGTGACTGGGACGGGGGGCACTGGACTCCCCATGCGGTCCCTCCCCACCCGCGCCACGCACGGTCCCCTACCGGGTCGCTGCTGCGGAGCGTGGGCGTGGCAAGCCCTACTTTAAAGCCTGTCCAGCCCCCTCTGCAGCAGCAGGCTCCGAGGGGAGCACAGCACCCACCCGGCCTCGCAGCCAAACGCCGCAGCCCGGACGCCTCCAGGGCCACCCCCTCCCCCGGCGGCAAGGGCACCAGCACCTGACTCGCGCTCCCATTGGCTGCTGCCTGTTGCTAACCCACGTGACCGGCGCCGGCGCGCCCCGCCCCTCCGCGCCGCGCCCCCGCGGGCTCCCGCTCGGCCCGCGCGCTCCTGCAGACGTGCGCTGCCCGGCCAGCTCCGGGCCTCGGGCCCCGCCCCGCCCGCCTCGCCTCCAGTCCACGCGGCGTCCCGAGCGGCCCGCGGCGCTGCTGCGGACACCCACAAGGTGGCAGTGCCGCGCTGTGTGTCCCCGCGTCCCGGTCGGCGCCCGCCGTGCGGGGCGGCCGGTGCCTGCGCAGCCCTGCCCAGCAAAAGTTTTAATGCACGGGAACGCGCCCGGGCCGCGCGCTCTGCAGGGCGGCCCCGGCCCCGGGGCGATTTGCACTTCACGGTTTTCGTTGTCCGGGACTCAGAGAATCGGCTCTGGAGGCCTGTAATTGATGCAAACCGGTGGAGCTTTCCGGGAGTATTTCGTTTTGTTTTTGCTTTAGGGAACGTACGCCAAGAACCGGTTCCTGAGGAGACGTGCAAACACGCAGCTATTCTTTGTCTCTCTTCTGGGCTTTCCGCTGAGCTCAGCCTCCCTTTTCGTGGGCGAAAGACACAAGCCACCACCACCGCCTCCAAGGGCCCTCTCCGCGCCCTCCTCCGAGGGCCTGATCTGCTTGGGAAGGGGAGGACACTGGAACATCCTGCCCTGCAGCTGTCCCTGGGATGCCCCTAATTCCCGGGACACGGGCGATAAGCTTGTCTGACCTCATTTGACCCCGCTGCAGGCGCCAGGCGTCCGCATTTAGTGCACTGCAGTCTCCTTTTCTTTCTGCTCTCTGGATTTTTTTTTCCCACTCTTCCTTCCGACACTTTTCTCCTTGCTGGCTTGAGGCTGGTCTTATGCCCAAGCCCTCCCTCCCTCTCAGGCACAAGTCTGCCATTCTCCTTTTTTACTTTTAAGTGCAATGTTCTGAGGACCTTGCTGGGCTCACCTGACACTGGGAGACGTCTGAGAATGTGAAGGCCAGTCCAGTTTGGGCTGCCGGCACCTGCATGTGGCTGCCAATTGTCCAGGCCCTGTGCAGCACATTCCGTTGCCTGGTCGTCAGCAGACCCCCAGAGCTGCTCTCTGGGTAATTTCTCACAATGGCCCTTGTCTGCTCCAACCTGGCATTCATCCCCTCCGAACAACCCCCAAACTGGCCTCTGTATTCTCCAGTGCTGAGATTGCTGCTGAGATCTGGGCACAGAACTCTAAGGGGCCAACAACTCCCGCCCCCACCTGGGTAGGCGTTGCCATCTCTCACCTCCAGGCCCAGGACTCAGGAGAGGCCAGCAGGGAACATTTCTTTTGAGAGAGCCTTTCCACCTATCTTGACATCAACCAAGAAGGTTCTAGAGAACCACCTGGAGGGCTTTACAGGCGTGTCTCCTGGATTCTGGAGGCACCAGGATTGAGGTGATGTCTAAGCTGAGAGAGCTGTTTGTGTGGCGAGAAAAAGAGGCATTCAGAGTGTTGCCTGCTTCCTAGAGTTGGTGAAGCACAAGTGCCTTAGTCCCCTGAGGGGGCAAAGAGACACAATACCCAACCCCCACCCTCAGGGGCTGAGGACAAGGGAGCAGCACAAACTCATACCTAAGGGCCAGAGTGAGTGGCCAACCAGCATCCGCTGCCATGTTAAGAACTGCAGTTAGGAGCTCTTCAAAGACGGGGAAGAGTATTTAAAAAGAAAAGAAAAAAAACACAAAATCACCCCACAAGAGAGCCAGCCCGTACTCATTGACATCCCCAAGGGCACCACCCCATAATTACAGCTGACCTTCCTTGAATAGCATTGTTCTTTGGGCCCCAAGAGACCTGCTGTGGTCTGGGTGTTGGTGTCCCTCGCTCCCCCAAGTTCATATGCTGGAAATTAATATACAGCATGACTCCTTGAAGAGGTGGGGCCTTTTGGGGAGTGACGGAGGCACAATTAGGGATTGGTGGTCTGAAGACTTGGAAGGGCGCTGCCTGACCCCTTCCTCCATGTGAGGGCACAGCTATAGGCATTGACTGTGCAGTAAATACTGAGCCCTCACCAGACACTGAATCTGCCATTGCCTTCATCTTGATCCCAGTCTGCAGAATAACGAGTACTGAATTTCTGGTATTTAGAAATCACTGCATCTAAGGTTTGGTGTTATAACAGCACAAATAGGGCTAAGACAGAGGTAAACCACCGGACAGTGATTGGAAAAGGCAGATGATCCAGGCAGAAGGATGAAGGCTGGCTGCCCAGCTCCCCTTCCCAACCTCAGGTGCCCAAACCTGAGCCAGCCTCCAGGTGCTGTTGGGAAGAGAGCACTGATTTGAAGGAGAGGGTCAGGTTTCTCGGTTTGATTGGATTACACTTTGTAATAACTGAAAAATGAGACACGTCCTGCATCCCCGAAATAGACCAGGAAGACTGGTCAATGGGTTCTGTTCAGTCATGGGGAATAATAATATTGATGATGGCAAACACTGTCATTACACCTGGTGTCTCACATGTATCAACTCATTTAATTCTCACAACAATCGAGAGATCAGTCGTCTCATTATTCTCATTTCATACCTAAGGAAGCTGTAGGCCAGAGAGGTTAAGAAATTTGCCCACGATCTGAAGCTGGTCAGTGGCAAAACTGGGATTCAAATTCAGGCTTCTGAGTCTATTTGTGGAACTAAAATGCTTTCCTGCTGCTGAATCCTCATTCCTATTCTTGATCAAACCTGACCTGACATCAAGCCACAGTTCCAGCAGTCCCGACCCAAGAGCTTGCTTGGCTGTCCCAGCAGAAGGGGCCTCCCCTGAATTGTGATTTCAGGGGTATGTCATGGCTGCAGCATGGCTATCCCCTAGTTAGTGGGGACCACCTCAGCAGAATCACCCTCAGGACCCTTGGCATGTCTGTTCCATACCTCTGATGGCAGGACAGCGAGAGAAAGAGTTGGCCATTGAGTGGAGAGCCTCTCAGGACAGGGTGCTTTTTGTGGGATTCTGGGGGACAGAGTTAGAAAGTGTGTTTTATGGGAAGATTAGATATTGACCTTCTTTTCCAGTGGTTTCAGGTTTTTGAAAACCACAGTTTTCCCTGCTCCCCACCCCCCCAAGCCAGGTGGAACAGATAAGAGGTCTCTGGGTAAGGCCCGTGGGGAGGGCCTGGGATGGGCTTCCTCTTGGGGCTCCTCATACACACAGGCCTGGCACCTGGAGGAACCTAGGGTTCTTCCAAACTGGTGTGAGCCACTGGTGTGGACCCTAGGAGCTCCCTGGGTGTGTGTTCCTTTTGCACATCTGTGTAAGTGTAATTCCCAGCGTCAGGGTTCTGTCTCAATAACTGGTTCGTACAACTTCACATTTCTCCTTTTTCCCCAAATGAGACTGCTGTCCCCGAGGCCTACCCTGTCCAACAGCCATTTCTCCTCCTTCTTTGCTAACAGAATCTAACTTCAATCAGGGGACCTGTACTCAATAACGCCGTGATTGGTCTAAGGCCAGGATTGGCCAAACCTACCTACCAACTCTTGTGGAAAATAAAGTTTTATTGGAGCACCGATATGTACATTTGCTTCCTTATTATCCACGTGGCTGCTTTCAGAGTGACTAGTTATAACAGGAGACCGTATGGGCAACAAAGACTGAATTATTTAGTGTTTGATCCTTTACAGAAAAAGGTTGCAGACCTTTGTTCTAAGGAAGCCATAGCAATCTTATTTCCTCACAACAGATCAGAGTTAGACCTACAATCACTTTGATTGAGGAAAT